TCGAAATACCACCAACATACCTCACAGACCTAGAGAAATCATTCCTAAAATTTATTTGGAACTACAATGCAGTCCTGATGATAAAAAGAATACTGTTTTAAAATGTTAGCAATTTAGTGATTTTAGCATTGTTTTCAAAACTTAGTCTTTTTGATTTTCATAATTATTTTTCTTTTGGGAGAAGAGGTGGTTTAGAGACATTGCTATAGGTGAATGAAATTCCCTACCTGAAAGATACCTGGCATGAGTTTGTGGTCTCTAAAACCAAAGAGCGAATTTTGGGAACAAACAGAGGTTAAGAGCAGAATAGTTTTACTGGGTGAAAGAAAGCTTTTGTCTGACAGAGGGACGGAAGGAGACTCAAGCAGGTTGTCCAGGAATCTGCCTTTTCTACTGGCTTCCTAAAGCAAAACCACAAGCTGAGGCAGGTCTAAGGTGGAAAACATGGGAACTTGCTAAGTGGGCATGAGGTGGCATAAAACTATCGTCAATCAATAAGGCTACAAGCACAATTGCTCAGCTAAAATTCATTAAGTCTAGGACCAAATAGGAAAGCAAATCATATAGCAAGTGAGCATGAATATAGAAAAAAAGTTTGGGGCCGGGGTGATGGCTCAGTGGAATAAGCGCTTCCCTGGCAAGCACAATGCCTGAGTTCAATCCCCGGTTCCACCAAAAAAAAAAAAAAAAAAGAAAAAAAAGAAAAAAAGTTTATCCAGTAACCCATAGCAATTGGATTAGTGGCTCTTTCTGGCTTCCTCAAGGTGAATGTTAAGCCCGGATGCTTATCTTTAAAGAGTTACGCATTTCTTTGATCTTTGGTCTTGAGATTTGGCTCCAAGGGAAGCATCAGGGGCCAGGGAGATGGCTCAGTGGGATAAGTGCTTCCCTGGCAAGCACAACACCTGAGTTCAATCCCCCATTCTGGGGAAAAAAAAAAAAAAAAAAAGGAAGCATCAGTTTTTTTACAGTTGTAAGGTATCATGTCTTTCATTCTGTCTTTGAGGGCCTAGCCCTGTCTGCCTAGAATATTTTTATTTAACTCAGCTGCCTGCAACAACAGGATATAACTAAGGAATTCAAGTAGTCCTTGAACTCACTGTATATCAGCTGAAGGCCTCAAACTTGTCATTCTCCAGCATAGACCCCTCAAGGGCTTGGGTGACAGGCATGTGTCACCACACCTGACCTATTAAATACCCAATAATATTTTGGATTTTAATTTTTAAAATGTATATAGAACAAGGACTACAGGATCTCACTACACAGATCAGACTTGTAGGGATCCTTCCTGTTTTATAGCCTCCCCAGTGCTGGGATTACAATCCCACACCACCACGCCCGGTCTCAGTTGCTGTCTCATTGCGCCTTGAGGGTGGGGCTGGCCCAGCATGCTGGGATCGAACTCCCAACCCCTGCATCTGCCTAAGCAGGAGTTTTAATGGGCTGAGCTATCTAACTGACTATATAATTTCTGAGATAGCTCAGTGGTCTAAAGCACCTGCTAACGCAAGCTTAGGCAAAACACAGAAACCACAATTTGATCTCCTACACCACAAGTTATGCCAGCCCTGCCCCCAGGGTGGGCTGAGCCACACACTAAATATATTTTAAAATATTAGAAATGATGCAGAATTTCATTAAATAAGATGAGAGGAATTCACAGTCTTAGTTTTGTGTTTTGAGACAGAGTCGCC